AGAGGACTGCATCCAGCCATGAACATGCAGCATAAAGAGAACAATGAGCCAGGCTATTTTTTACTACTGGCTTTGTTTTGATACTTACCAGAGGGGTTTAAACATGTGTTGGATTTTGGAAGGGGTGGTTATGAAAGTCATCTGAAAAGCCCCTTTGTGCTGATGTTTCCAAACTGTGGTCCAGGGACCACTGGTGCTGTGCTGAAAACTGGCTGGTCACACAGCACTGGCTATCCTTGTTTCCAGCTACTGATTATTAAAAATATAACATACTTTCCCAATATTACTTTTCCATAGACATGATTATTGAAGAGGTCTCAGGGATATTTTGCAGTTGTAGATGGGAAGGGATGTGGTCCACACAGTCTTAGTAGGGAGAGAGCTGGTCATTTATAAACATCTGTGAATCATGGACTACCAGAAAATTGACAACCTTTGTCTTAAATGTCTCTATTTAAAACTCAGTGGGAGTTCTGTGAAGAGGTTTACTAGACTGGGCTCCTAGTTTGCTGCAGTAATACAATTTTCTCATCCTACACTTAAAGAGAGGGCATTCACTGGGATAATCATATTTCTGTTTAAGATTTACTTACTACAAGTAAAACCTAAGATTACTAACACTGAAATAATAAATATATTTCCTCCCCCCCCTTCCATCCCTACAAGTTTGATGACAGTGAATTTTACAGCTTTTGCATGTGGTCACTTATTTTTTTATCCCTGCACAGTCAATTTCCATTTTGTTTGCATGGTCTTACACAGCAGAGTATTTTTTTAAAAAGGACATTTTGACTGTAAAACCACAAAGATATACAAGGGGGTCAAGGACAAATAAAGTACATTCAACTTTAAGAAAGCTAGAGACCAGATTTCAAGCACAGCAGTCCATTAAAGTACAGAGTAATATCTGTATTTCTATCCACTGTATGCAGACAAAGTCTACATGTACAAAATCCACCAGAGAGTACAGCACTTCTAAAAGGTTCTGCTTGGAAACCAAACAATGCCTGCTATAAGGAAGCATCTATATGAATGAGGAACTTACAATGCAATTGAAAGGAACTGCAATGAATCAGCAAGCTCATTACAGAAGCTGAATTTGTGCTGCTGAGGTTATTTAACAGCACTTAACCAAAATTTGGAGGCATTCATGATTTGCCGGTAAAACTTCACTGTGAGCTTAAATTTACAAGTGCAAGGTCTGACTAGATAAAATTATATATATGTATAGTGTGGAAAACACCCAAAAATATTTAAATAAATGGTATTCTAATGTTTAACAGTGCGATTAATCGCTATTAATTTTTTAAATCACTTGACAGCCCTTTTATTTATATATATATATAAATAAAAGGGCTGTCAAGTGATTTAAAAAATTAATAGCGA